TGAAAGCATCAGAGGGCCCAAACATGGCTGTTGAACCCCACAGACTGCCCAAGTATGAGTTAACATCACCTTGTTGAAATGACACCAACTGTGTTCTATTCAGTAAGAAACCCTCTCTACATCTGAAACCTAAGTCTATCTAACAATCATTAGACCAGTTACAATGTGTGCAAGTGAAACATTGGTCCACAACAAAAAATAATAGCAGAATCTCCCATATTATGGAGATAAGAATGCTTTGGCAGTCACTTGGCAAAACAAGACTAGACTGAATAACAAATAAAGATATGCTGGTATTGTCTCCATTGCTGAGAAAAACAAACAATTGTGTTTAGAGTGATAGGGTCATGTACTATATACCAGCAAAATATCCATAGCAAGAACAACTTTAAAATTAAAAGTAGAAGGCCCCCAGCCTTCTAAATATATAGGTTCAACCAAGTGAAAAACAGAAATTAAGCTAAAGAAGAAGAAAAAAGGCAATTAGTTTCCACAATATGATCTTGAGCACATATCTAACATTTTTAAGGAGAATATCAGGAATTATTCTAGTCCTGGAATCCTGTCCCCTATTAATACAGAACCAAAGGAACTTGTGGAATGAATTTAAAGAAATTGTTAAGAATGTTGTGGTCCACCGTCAGCCTGCAGAACTGACAGCAGAGTCGGATAGCGAGGACGTTGGGCAGAAACATGGGCCAGTCCTGGAGTCTGGGAAGGCTCGGACGAGGTCTCTGCGTCAGAGGCAGAGAGGGGGCCATAGCGATCTGGGAGTTATGTACTACTTTCAGAGCCTCCAGAATTGGACATCAGTGAGGCAGAGGAACAGGTCCCCCTGTTCCCAGTGCACGAATGCACAGAGCTGCCAGAAGGCAAGAACAGTTAAGACAGAAGGGACAATTTGGGAATAAGGTTTGGAGGTGATTGGCCCCTCCCATAAAGGAGCCTTTGCAGGAAGCAACTTGGTTGATGCTGGTCAGTTTACCTTCTGAAGCTCTGTTTTGACTCTTTGCTTCGTGTGGCCTTGCAAAGCTAATTGCCAATTAAGTCTTTCACAGCATTTCAAGAAAAATAAAGATGGGTGCTTATCAGCCTTATCCTGAAAGACTTTGGCAGCCTTTACAAGTATTTGGGAGTCATTACGGGCTGTGAATGAACATAATAAATAAATAAATATAATAAAAAGAGGGTTTGGGGAACTAAGTTGTGTGTGCTTTTTACTGTATCAGGAAGCCTAGGTCAGAACAAAGAATGGATGTGAAAGAGATGGCCAAAGATAAAGATATAAAAAAAAGCAAACTGGATGTCAGAACAAACTCTAGAAATTGACAAGAACAGAAGAGAACCCAAAGTCAAGAAAGGCAAAAATCTGAGGGAAGAACTTAAGAAACAAGTAGTAGTATACAACAACCTCTATAACACACTGAAAATGGGATCCAACCTTGAATTGCTATGCTAAAGGACATCAATGGACCATAGTAGCAGAGTTACTAGTAGATACCAATGAACAAATAAACCAAGATGAAAGGATTACAACAAAATACAGTATAGGTGAGTTTTCAACATTGAAGATAATTTGGAAAATTCTTCTTCCTTGCAAGAATCGATAGTACTGGAAGATGAAGTTAGAAGACCAATCTGGCCATTACCAAGTTGGAAGGTTATGGGAAATGATATTATACTCATAGAACTATGGAAAGCAATAGAAGAAAAAAATCAGTAAAAGGTTCTAACTAACTGAGTCTTGACATGTCTTGCTGAAAACTTTGTCATACAAAAGGCAGAAGAAAGAACAAGAGGGCCAGCTATACTGCACTTAATGTTTACTGATAGGGATAAACTTCATATTTGAATTCACTATAATGCAATCACAGGTAACCAAACAAATTCAGACTAATGCTTTAGACTTTAAGAGAGCTTATTTCAATAATTAAGAGAGAGAGTAGGAAGGATTCCATGGACAGAAATCCTAAAAAGAAAAATGGCTCAAGATTCAAAATTGGATTTGTTGTTAGTTGAGAAGTCCGACCCATCGCGACCCCATGGACTACGTTCCTCCAGGTCTTCCTGTCTTCTACCATCCTCTAAAGTCCATTTAAGCACTCCTACTACTTTGGTGACTCCATCCAGCCACCTCATTCTCTGTCGTCCCGTTTTTCTTTTGCCCTCAATCGTTCCCAGCATTAGGCTCTTCTCCGATGAGTCTTTCCTTCTCTGTGGCCAAAGTACTTGAATTTCATCTTCAGAATCTGGCCTTCTAAAGAGCAGTCAGGATTGATCTCCTCTAGGACTGACCGGTTTGATTGCCTTGCAGTCCAAGGGACTCACAGGCGTCTTCTCCAGCAACATAGTTCAAAGGCCTCGATTCTTTGTTGCTCAGCCTTCCTTATGGTCCAACTTTCACAACCATACATTACAACTGGAAAAACCATAGCCTTGGTTTTATGCACTTTTGTTGGCTGGGAGATGTCTCTGCTTTTTAGTATGCTGTCTAAATTTGATGCCTATAGTTTCCTCCCCAGGAGCAAGCGTCTTTTAATTTCTTGGCTGCAGTCTACATCTGCAGTAATCTTGGAGCCCAAGACAATAAAATCTGTCACTACCTCCATTTCTTCCCCATCTATTTGCCAGGAATTGAGTGGGCTGGATGCGATGATCAAGGCGTTATTACAACATTAATTAAAATTATATTTTGCATGGATCAGTAATGATTTCCCTTGCAAGTTTTCCCATTAAGACATTCCTTATTGATTATACTTTAATCTCATAGAATATAATCATGCTTGTATAAAAAAAATTATCTGCATAATTGACTTGACCATGACCATCCTCCTGCTGATACAATTAAAAATATATTCAGCAACTTCTTCCTGAACAAGTATTTCAACTTAGAACTAGATTTAGAGCCAGGACTGGTTGTACCAAATGGATTTAGCACCTCAATGAACAAACTTCTTAGCTGCTTCAGAAAGAAGTTGCAATTTCACTTTATTACATGTTAAAGAGGTTTCTGGGAATTCCCTTCTGCAAACATTTACTAAACTCATTCAGTTACTCCAGCCATTCAGATACTGAGCAAGAGGGGAGGAAGCAGGCTCATTCCTCTTAGCCTTGGTTTGACATAGTGTTTTGTGCCCCAAAGAAAATTAATTAGAAAATTCAAATTAAGTTAAGAAAATTCAGTTGAGCACCCCCTCCCCCTCCATGAAAAAACCAATACAAACAAGAAAAGATGCTTTAATAAGGCTTCTTGGAAGCAACTGATGCCATCATCTCAGGTCAGAAATCCCATTTTATTTTGATGCCTAATTGCTTCCTACCCCATTGATAAGCCCCTTATTTCCCCACCTTTTACCTTTGTCTGTGTAGAACGACCACTATCTAATTCTCCTAAATTTGAATGTTAACTTTCTCTCCAATTGGATCTCAGTTTTAAATGCTGAAAAGAATCAGCTTAAGTCTAATAAATCACCAGACAATTTTAATCACTGCTGAAATATTACAGAGCAATTTGGAATGGTAGACCTCAGTTCTTCCTTTCATTTATTTAGATTGATCACACTGCAAAAATCCCAGAGGACTGATCCTAGCATCATAGTGCCCATTTACAAAAATATTGTCAGCTGATTATAGCGACTCTTCAATTTACAGTCACAATTATGACTGCAATCTTTGGTCGCTGAGTGAAGTTGAGGCTGTAATAGTATTATTTCATTCTACTGTGATAAAGAGTTGAGAGTCAATGCTTTTCTTTCCTTTTACTCCTTTGCCCTATACTTCTCCTTTTCCCTTCCCTATTTTCCACTATTTTCCTTTGATTTTACATTTTGATAAGTTTAATAAACTTATTTCTAAAAAACATCCATTCTTCTTTCCGAGTTAAAGTTGTAGGCTTTAAACAAGGCTTCTCTAGGCACTTTACATTATTACTTGCCTCCCATAACCATCCAGAGATTAAAACGGGCAGCAATGAAACATTATAAAATAAATATAAAGACCAAACTAATGACAGCATGACAATCAGTCTCAGAACTAATAATGAAAATATCAAATTGGTAGATAGCTTTTGGAATAACTATCAAGTTCAAACGAATAAACAGTCAAGAAATACATTGCAGACTGCCATTGGGCTGCTATGAATGCGTTAGAAAAAAGGGACGTGGTGGCTCAGTAACTAAGACGGTGAGCTTGTCGATCAGAAGGTCAGCAGTTCAGCGGTTTGAATCCCTAGCGCCACGTAATGGAGTGAGCTCCCGTTATTTGCCCCAGCTTCTGCCAACCTAGCAGTTTGAAAGCACGTAGAAATGCAAGTCGAAAAATAGGGACCACCTTTGGTGGGAAGGTAACAGCGTTCCGTGCGCCTTAAGCGTTTAGTCATGCCGGTCACATAACCATAAAGATGTTTAATGCTTTAGAAAGATATTCAGATATCTTGATACCTACAAAGATGACCAGTGCAAGCAATGGTATTCCCGTAACATTCTATGGTAGTGAAAGTTGAAAAAGCAGAATATAAAGAATGTTAATGATTTTGAACATTGGTGCTGGAGAAAACTCCTGAGAATATTGTGGACAGCCAAGAAAACAAACAAATAAATAAGCAATCAAATCAACCCAGAATTCTCACTCAAGACATATATGACTATTTTAGATACATTATGCGAAGACCTAGCTTCTGGAGAAATATTTAACGGAAATGTGAAAAAAAAGGTGAAAGAGGATAACCAGTAGCAAGCTGGATGAACTCAGTTACAGTGGTGATGGGTAGAGTATTGGAACATCTGAAAACTCAAGTTAGGGACAGATCATCATAGAGAAAATGCATGTATCTGCTAAGAATCAATGCCAAGGCAATCCATCCATCCATCAGAAATACTATAGATGTCAAATGGCACATACAGCTAAATAAATAGCTTCTGCAACAAATATAACAAGGAGGAGGAAGAGGAAAGTGCAAGTGCGCTTAAAAGTAAAGCAATATTCACTATTTTGGATCTTACCTTTCTTATGTTGGTCCCTACATAGCTCTTAGGCTCCTCTTTAAACTGAGATGATCTGGAATAATATAAACAGACAAAGGTATTAAATACAGGGAACACAAGAAAGTTCTCTGCTTTTTAATGCTTATTTTATGAAAGTTTACAATATACAATAATTACTAATAAAAACAATTTTAGTAACTTATCACCTTCTCTTAAAATACAACAAATGACCTCTTCTTCTCATATCCATCTCTTTATCAATAAACAAATCCATAAAATGTCATCATTTCACTCTTGATGTTAAGCAGAAGTTCATTAAGTTCATTACCAAAGACAACAAATCTATTAATCTTGATCATTTATTTCTAACAATCTTGATCTTTAGCCCCTTCAAATAATGTCACAGAATTTGTTTTTATTTTTATTTTTTCTTTGTCCTTTCTCACAAAGTTCTTCAAAACTTCAACAAGTCTTTTTTATAAATCCAATATAGGAAAATTATTCAGGTTACTCTCTTGGTTTGTTTGTCCAGTGTAATAAATCATTCTTGTAGCCCATCATTTTTAAATCTACTTTTAAATTAGGCTCAATTGTGTCAGGTAACCTTGCTCCTCTTTGATAGCATCTTTTAAACAAAGTCTATCTAGAGAGGCAGATACTCTTAAATTTTACTTCTATTCTCTTGTTTAAAAATATTATTCAATAAATCTGAAATGGCATATGTGGATGACCTTGGAGGACATGGGAAAGTGATGCTTCCTAGGAAACAATCAGAACAAGACAAGGGGAGTCCTCAGCTGCTTAGCATTCAAAGAAAGAAATTTAAGAAAGACCCATCCTAATTGATCAGATAGTTAAAAGTGGCAGCAAGAACTTTGTATGTTCAGATTTCTAATGCTCTGTTAATGTAATCTTACAATACAATAGATCTAGTTCATCTAGTAGCATTTTCTGCCTCGTTTACCCAGGTCTGACAATGTCCAATGTTAAAATATTCTGTATTAGTAAATCAAGTTGAAATGTTCTTCTCCTTTAATTGTAATCTTTTGATCCTTCTATTCCCTCTGGTGTCCAATTTTTTAAACTCTTAGTTTTAAAAAAACACAAAGAAATCAAAACAAAAGCATATTCCGATGGGAAGGATTCTTTATAATTAATTCCAAAATCTTATTTCAAATTTATCTGGACCCTCAATCCTTTTGTAACTTTCTAAAATTTTAGTTTTAATTGCCCCTTTGCTGTTTGTTCAGGAAATCTTTTTTAAAATGCTTAAATTTGCATTCCAATTTCTTTTGCTAAGGATTGAAGGAAACTTACCCAGTGCTATAAAACGATCCAAAGGTTCCTAATAAACAGTTAACAAGCAATTTCCTAAAGTGATTAGAAAACCAAGTATGTGAGGCCAGTGACTTTTTAGTTTCCGTTTTTAGCAAAATGGCTATTCCCTCACCCGAATGATGAATGAATGTTGCTTACTATTTTACTTCTATGTATTGTTTGTGTCTATTGTCTGTATACCCCCCCCCTCATTTTATGTAAGCCGCCCTGAGTCCCCTCAGGGAAAAGGGTGGCCTATAAGTATTAATAAATACTCAAATACTCAAAATACCCTCGTCCCCCAGAGCTCTTAAACCTCATCTTTTCAGTCTCCTCATGAGAAACAACTCTTTGGATTACATGTGTGCGATCTTGTCCTCTCCTTTTTCAGAGAAGAATTATGAAGGACCAGTCTATTTGTCAGCTCCACTGCACTTGTCAGCTCCACTTTCTGTGGAGTTGTCTTTGATTCAACATTTCTTTCCACCAGAAGTCCAAGAAGGTACTCTTCTTAACATTCAATGGATAGTTATAATCCTTTTATTAGAATCTTTTCTTTTATATGGAGTTTCTTTACTTTCTTCTGGTCATACGTTGCCTTATACTTTCTAATCAACATTTAAAAAAATAATAACAAAAGTAACAACCATACTAATTAATATATGCATAATCCATACTGTGTGTACACACAATACTGTGCAAAGTTATAGGCAGTTGTGAAAAAATGCTGTAAATTAAGAATGCTTTCAGAAATAGAAGTGTTAATAGTTTATTCTTATCAATTAACAAAATTGAAAGTAAATAAACAGAAGATAAATCCAAAAATCAATACTATCTGGGCTGACCACCCTTTGCCTAGAGCACAAAACTGGCAGAAACCAGTGCAACCCAGATTTATCTATCTACTGTCTGGAGAAGTCTGGCCAGAAGTGGCCTTCATGAAAGAACTGCAGTCAAAAAGCCATACTTCCAAAGTGGAAACAAGGCTAAGTGATTCAATTATATATATAAAAAATATCGGAAGTGGAGTGTAGAAAAAATGGCAGCAGGTGCTCTGGATTGATGAGTCAAAATGCAAAATATATGGCTACAGCAGGAGGTAGTTTGTTCACAGAAGGGTTGGAGAGCATACAATAATGAGCATCTGCAGGCAACAGTGAAGCATGGTGAAGGTTCCTTGCATGTTTGGGGCTGGACCTCTGCAAATGGATTTGGAGATCTGGTCAAGATCAAAGGGGTCCTGAATGCAATAGATACCAATCCATCATCCATTAGGACGAGGCTGTTCAAGGACAGCAAAAACATTGATATTGTGGTGACTCTGAAGTAAGCAAAAGTAACAATTTTGTATTTTATTGTTTTTAGCTCCCCATCTAAAATTTGAAGAAAATTAGTGGCACAATCTATGAAGAAATGTGGACCTGGCCTTTCAAAAAGGTAGATATGAACAAACCATTCATTACAGGTGAATTTTCAGAAAAGATTATTCAGTCTAAGAGGAAAATGTGAGAAACAAACTTAAAATAGCATCACTTTGATTTTGTCTGGCAGAAGATGGAAGCAGAGAAAAACACTGACAGATTTTCAAGATTCTGTCATTTTACCCTATAAAAATTAAGTGTTTCCTGGAATTCTTGCCATGCCTGATTCCTGTCCTGGGCTATCGTAAAGGACTGACCCAATCTGCACAACAGTGGATCCAACCGTCAGTGCTAATTATTTTCTCCTATTCTAAACCATCCTGGATAGTGTGTTAACTTAACTTCAACTATAATTACCAAAAAACTGTGCATTGCATACCAGCTGATTCTCCAATCTACAACACAGTCCTTTCAACAGTTCCAAAAAGGCCCCACACCAATTTGGACCACTCAGGTGACCCTGATGACACAGATAAACCTTCAGGTGACCTTAACAACTGCTAAAAGAATGCAAATGACCAGCTGACTGCAAGGAGTATAAATCCTTCCATTCCCTGCCATCCAGTCAGAACTGAAGAAGCTTCTTGGATGAGAAGCAAAATGTCTTTAAAGAAAAACCAGAAAGTCCAGTTGCCTCTTTTTTGGGGGGGCGGGAGGGGCAGGGGGGAGCACCTTTGCGACAACTATGACCTGGATGACTGAAAATCTTCAGAGATACCAGTTTTTCAGTTTTTAGATCACTGCTGCCTTCTAACATCACAAGAATTTATTTTATAATACATTTATAAGATTAAAATTTGTCACAACTTATGAAGAGTTATGGAAAATAATGACAGAATTTGCTTTCCAAGTGCCTCTAAAATACAGATGATTTACTGAGATTTAGTCAGGCCAAAGTCTGTTGAATCTCAGTCAGATGAAACATAAAGACTTCACTAGGAGGCTTGCACAATAAGAACACATATCTCTTTTGCGCTCTTTGATGAGTTTCTTGTTTTCCTGGCGATAGTAAGACTGAAAATTTAGGGCAGTCTTTAGTTACTGAAGCCTTTATTTTTCATCAGTTTATGTTATTTCTATTATGTGATAACATATTCCTCAATTTCATATATTATTTTAATCTTGCTTATTGTCAGTGAAGAAGATACATTTTGATGAAAGGACAAGCTTTGCAAGGACCTGGTAATACTTGGAGTAGAGTATGCATATACATAAACACTAACATATTTGGAAATGTGCAATCTTCCCATCCTTGAAGGGCCAGTTGAGCAGTGCAGAGACAAATACAAGAACGTTTACCTTGTGAAGAGCAGCTGTACCATGTCGACCAGAGTGTGCTCTGCAGATTTTCTCAATAACTCTGAAGACAAAAACAAATAACACAGGTGTCATTATCCCATGTGATATTATCTGGAGGCTTCTTTGCGTAGACTTCCCTCCAAGTGTTGCTTACAAAGGATTACTAGAAATTTATTAAAACCAATCCAGGCTCAGCTGTGCAGAAAGAAAAGGAAAGATACACCAAGCTGCACTACAGAGATAGAGGAATGTAGAGATGAGAAAGGAAAAGGCAGAGGAGCAGGAAATGATTAGCAAAGTCAACTACTTTTCTAAAAAAATTAAGGAATGTAAACTCAATTTTACATATTTAGCATATTTTATGTTTATTTACTTTTCAGCATTCAGACTTATTAAATACAGAAATAATATATGCCAAAATAATATAAATGTTTATGATTTGCTTGTTTACATTGCAGACCTACCACTAAGCCTCATCTCAAAGCATATACGGAAGCAAGACTGCATGATTTCACACACAGATTCATTCGTGAGATGAGCTCCAACTGGAGCAAGGAGGAGAGTCCTCAAGACCTGAAAGAAGAATAAATCAATATGAAATGTTATATTCTAATCACATTTTAATATCAAAAACATTCATATGAAATAACAAAGAAACATTTTAAATATCAACTAAACAGTGGAAGAATACTTCTTTTTAGTATTACCAATTAGACAACTAGTCCCATATAAGTGAATGAGAGCAAATTCTTTCCCTGCCACAGATCGTTTGGATACAGCATGAAGTCTGTACAAAACATTTCCCCAAATCAGTCTCTATGAACAGAGATTGAGAGACAGTTTGTGAATACTTAAAATTACTCAGAATTTTTAAGAACTCTAACTAACACCTGAGTTTTGGGTAGGTCAATGAATAAAGTCTGGTAAATAATTTACAAAGTAACATATGTTATTGTCTTATTGAACTCAGTGAGTCAATGAAGCCTTTGTTGGAAAAAATATACGAAATGTTACTACAGAGGTAGCATGTAATAACACCTCTTTCAACACAGATATCTCTTTTATAAGAGTTTCAACATATTGATACTTTGAAGCTGTCTGGTGTAAAATACACAATATTTTACTTGTATTAAAGTCAAGACATTATATGTTTATGTTTCAAAATTTCAAAATCTGAGATTTTTTTCAGTTTTGGTCATTCTGACATAGATTTTACTTATGAGTTTAAGACCATTGTTGTGTTCTTTGTCTTTAAGTTTCAGCTCATGGACTTATATTCTACAACTTTCCTGTACATTTCCTGATATAATCCATAATCCATTTTTCCTTCAGTGATTGCAAGTTAGCTCCAAACTATGATATTCCCATTATCATCCTTCTTAGTTGTTCCAAAAGTGTGTGGAATCTTTCAGACAGGATGAGATAGGGAGCAATGGATTTTCTAGAGACGAGTGGATTCCTCATTATATATTTCCATGCATACTACTCTTGTACAGTTTTTTTCTTTATAAAACACCCAAGAATGCTTATATAAGCCTTCCAGAGTAAAGCATACTTTGCTCCAGGGATATTTCTGGATGGATGAATAACTATGGTATTGTATTTTATTTTCAGTCTGTATATTATTTATTTGACAATGGAATGGCAATGAATCATGTTCTTTGGCAATGATTTTGTAGTCTATTTTCCACCTCATGAGTATCAAAGAACATTTTTCTACGGTCTGCAGGGATCTCTTTTGATCAGGGCATGATCCATTTCCATAAGCTGTATTGTGAAGAAAAAACTCTCAATGTTCAGTTTTTATAGAGAAACCCACATCAAATTTGTATCATTGTCTAGTTAGGGGTGTCAAACTCGATTTCATTGAGGGCCACATCAGGGTTGTATTTGACCTCAAAGGGGGGGGGGGTGGCCAGGGTGGGCATGGCCAGCTCAACATCGCTCATGTCAGGGGGACCTGTGGTGACCTGAGTGCTCTGCCAGAGAAAACGGGCTCCTGAGCTATGTTTTCAGATGCAACGGCCTCCTGCAACCCTCTGCCAGCAAAAACAGCATGACCCGTCAAAAGCGCGGAGGACAAAATTGCGCTCGACGAAAGCGCGCATGTGACGTCATCACAGCGCGACGAAAAAAATTAAAAATTGAAATAAAATTAAAATTAAAGCAAGCCGATTCACATAAAGGTAAGGGTTAGGTTTAGGGTTAGGGTTAGGTTAAGGGTTAGGGTTAGGTTTAGAGCGTTAGCGTTAGGTTTAGCGTTAGGTTAAGGGTTAGCGTTAGGTTTAGCGTTACGTTAACGGTTAGGTTTAGGGTTAGATTTAGGGTTAGGTTAAGGGTTAGGTTTAGGGTTAGGTTTGGGGGGGTTAGGGTAAGGTTTTAGCTTTATTTTTACATTTTTCGATCACAGCGCGATGTTTTCGTCGCACTGTGATGACGTCAAATGCGCGCTTTCATCGAGCGCGATTTTGTCCTCCGCGATTTTGTGGTGGAACCCAAAAACAGAGCTTAAGAGGGCTGCCTGCGGCCCTTGCAAACTCCATTTTTACTGGAAGAGGCACCGTGGGCCAGTCCTTCATTGTTTCCAGGGTGGACCCATAGGCTAGAACTAAACACCCCGGATCCAGCCCCCAGGCCTTGAATTTGACATCCCTGGTCTAGAACATCTGCATCAAGTTACTCCCTAAAAAAACTAATCATTCTACGGTTTCACATTTTTTTCCAACAGTATTAGAAAATGTTTATTATTTATTTACATGTTTATATATTTATTGTTTATATATTTATTACATGTTTATATATTTATTAAACATGTTCTATTTTTGTGTATCATATGTTTAATCAGAATCTCTTAACAGGATCCCATGAATTCAGAGGAAGCTCTGATCACAATGTATATCAGTTTTACAGGACACAGATAATCCCCCCCCCAAATCTCACCATGTCCAACATACCTGCAAAATCTTCATCAAGACAACCTCATCACTTCCAGGATCTGTGCCCACAAATCGGGCATGTGTTACAGCATCTGCCAAGTTTTCCATTCCCTCAGCTGTGCCCTCATGATTTGAATCTAAGAACACAAAATAATCTATCTATCTATATCTAAAAGTAAGCCACATTAAATTTGTATCATTGTCTAGAACAGGAGTGTCAAACTCAATTTCATTGAGGGCTGCATCAGGGAGGGCGGCATGGCCAGGGTGGGCATGGCCAGTTCAATATCACTCATGTCAGGGGGGGCTGTGGTGATCTGAGTGCTCTGCCAGTGAAAACAGGCTCCTGAGCTCTGTTTTCAGATACTACATATATAAAAGCAAAAACCACTCACGCCACATCACGAACTCTCCAGAACTGTAAAGCCTACAAACTTGAAATGTGGCATATATGTTCCTCTTGGCTTCCAGGTACTCGCTTAGAAAGGGTTTTTCTAAATGACCATCAGAGCATTAGTATTTCTTATATTATTATTCACCCGCCCTGATGCTAAGGAGTGAGACGTTCTATTCTCCTCCCAACCTGAAAATAACTCTGTTCCAACTGCCACTTGGATGTGGGCATGGCCAGCGCCTGACTCATCCGGCCTGTGCTGCTATATGAGGGTCTGTTATGTTACCCATTGCTTCATTAGATTTACCATATTTTATCTTTATTTTGTTATATTTAATTGATTTTATTTTACAGGTAGTCTGCACTTAGCTACCACAATTGGGACCAGCAACTCAGTGGCTAAGCAATGTGGTTGTTAAACAAGACCTCACATGACTGCAATTTTCTGGTTTTACTGCAGCTTCTCCACTGATTCTACTTGTTGGGAGCCGGCTGTAAAGTGTGCAAATAGTGATCACATGACCCTGGAACAGTGCAACATTGTAATTGAAAGCTGGTTGCCAAGCACCCATAATATGATTATGTGACCGTGGGGAAGCTGAGATTGCTGCCACTACTAGGATCCACCATAAGTCCACCTCATTTAGCACTATTGTAACTTCAGCACAGTTGCTAAATTAAGTGAGGACTACCTTCATTATTTCTATTTTTATCCATATAAAATACAAAACATAATCCTGTTTATTCATTATAAAAACCAATCCAAATTTCAGTTCTCCTGGGATCATTAATATATAATTTTCAGGCAAGTAATGGTTCTCTAAGTCATCAGTTTTAGTTTATAATAAAAGAGAAAATAGTCTTAATCCATACCTATTAGTCCATATGAAATGAATTTGTTTACTGATGTCAGAGCCAGTCCAGTAATTGGGCCTGTAGTATCTTCTGATCGAATAACTTCCAGAAAAGGTCGAAGAAAAACAATCGGTTCAATGACTGAAAGTTCTAAATCAGAAGACAAAATTAAACATCATAAAAGTTACTTGTAGAACAGGGAAAATATTCTTCCAGTGAAGGAAGAATCTTGCTGAAATTCAAGTCTGGCAACCCCAAGACGAGTTTATTGGTTTATTTATTCACACTTATATTCAAATAAACTACACAAAGAAATCTAAAAAGTTATTTGTCTTATATACAGTATCAATAGAATAATAGGAAAAAAAGAATATATGAAACGTATTCACTAAAGATAGTTACCTGTAATTTCTTTTGTATAACCTGAAAGTGCATAATCATTCAGTCTTCCTTCCCTTCTCTCTTTCCACCTCATCCCAGTTTAAATATTATTCAGTTTGATAATATATTATTTTACTAAAATGTAAATTGCTTTTATAACTAGTATGATTACCAGCAGGAATATTTGAGGGGAGAGGGACTGGATGTGAGATAATTGTAGTTAACTGCAGAATGTGTATTGTTATAATATACTCATCCAGTTTTCTTGCATCACTGGATTGTTTGGGGTAATACCACTATTACACAATTTGCTAAGGAAAGGCTCTATGTTTTAGAACTGAAGTGTATGGAACTCCTTTGAATTGCAGGAGACCCTAGTAATGAAGTTTAGAATAAACTAAAATGACTGGTAACATTTTTCTAGGATTTGAGATTTCTCCATCCATGGAGAAAGAGAATTTAGAGATTCTACCCCAGAGCTGTACCATGTTCCTTTCCCTTAGAAACACTGGTGAGCAGAGCAGAGTGTCAATGAGTTTATGGGGAGTTCACTTGCCTTTCAGATGGAGACAAACCAGAGGTAGGTTCCTGCCGGTTCGGGCGAACCAGTAGTGGTAATTTGGCCTGGGTTGCAGAACTAGCAATGACGCAGTCTGGCCATGCCCTGAACAGGTTCCCCGAACAGGTTCCCCAATCTCCGCTGTTGCTGGCATGTTTTTTATTAGTATTTCATGGTCTTTGCGCATGCACAGAACAATTTGCAGTGAACTGTGCACACATGCAGAGCACACGTCTGGCATGTGCGCGAACAAAGTGAACCGGTACCAACACAGGTAGGAACCCACCCCCAAGACAAATAAATATATTTGGTCAGAGACTTGAGGTCACTTTATTGTCAATCTGTTGAACAACCACTTCTTTCATTTGCTCACATAACAGAACTTTTGAACTTTATCCAACACAAATGCTATTAGAACTACCTGTTTGTTCCTGGAATGTAAGGTTTTCTATGTAGTTGCATAATTAATAAGAACAACAACTCAGTGTCATCAGAAATGATTATGAGTTTGTTTGTTTATTTATTTATCAATCAATCAAATTTACCTAGCTGCCCATCTCACCAAAAGCAACACTGGGCAGCACATAACGAATGTATAAAAACACATATAAAAACAATAATATAAAGGACATAAAAATCACTTTAAAAGGTAAATATTATCAAAAAGCACAGTTACAAACCCTCAGTGAAAAGAGGATAAAAATAATCAGCTCAGCAAAGGAGCTATCTAAGCAACTGCCCAGTTCCCTGGAAGCCCCTGACCTAGTAACATAACCAGGTCTTGAGGGCCTTCCAGGCTATTAAAGGGGATTGAGCTAATTTAATTTCAGGCGGAAGAATATTCCATAAGGAATTTAATAAATGAATCCACTACTACCAGTATGCTACTATGAGGGGTCCTTGGTGCTCTCTGATCTTCTTGTTTTCTTGCAGACCTTTCATTACCCAAATCAGCTAACATCATCAGTGCTACTCTAGTTTGGGTAATGAAACATCTGCAAAAAAACCAAGCACAGACATCAAGGACCTCTCATTTGAACTCTGTGCTACAAATATGCTCCTTTATTAGTATGCTAGTATGCCCCTGCATTAAGGGTAGATCAGTGATAAAATCTAAAGAAACAGCCTTGTAGGGCTGCGATGGGATCTCTATCTCTTGCAATAATCCAGTCGGTTTACCAGGTATTTGTTTATATATGTATCCTGCTGTGGTGTGGTTTTGCCACAGTTGTGCCTCCTGCCCTAATGGCACATATAAATGTGTATTGTGCAGCATCTGCCCTCCCTCCATTGTACAAGGAACACAATGCCTTTTTGGGATTCCCTGGAAGTCATCCTTTTGAGCCTGGCATATGATGTACCATTAAATCAAATAGATCAATAGCCTATATTCTTTTTACTTTTTGTGTTAGAAAAAATTAGGACGGGTCTCTTCTGAGTCTCTTGCCCCATGTGTTATCCAGCTGTGGGTTATGCTGTTGAGGGTAGCCATTGGGTCATTGACCTTTAGTGAGTTAGGGACTTGTCTATCCTGAGCATGTGAAGACAGATTATGGCAGATTGAGTGGATGAAACCTAGCAGAATAGGACAACGGTCATGAAAGCGGTCTTTACAAGCAACGTAGTACGGTAAGACACAAAAGATGTCCTGGTCAACCACTGCGCCCAGCCCATCTCCAACTATCTCAACTCTTGTCCTGCCATTGGAGCAAGATGAAATCTGGGAAGAGAGAGGTTGACTCTGCACACCTCTCCCTCACTTTAATCCAATTCATATGCAAATTCTGACATCCCCCCAATTGTCATAAACCTTCAAAGTCCTGTGACAATGGGCGACAAATATACATGACCCAGAAAAATGATGCAAGATCAAATCTGGGACAGTTACTGGGACCAGAGATTTATTCTTCCAAGGTTTTGAACTCATCCTGGAGCAAAGTAGAGAGAAGGTCCCTGAGGATGGGCTCCAGCATTAGTCCAAAAACTCAGAAGAGTACATTTCTGGTCCCAGTGACTGACCCAAATTCGATCTATCCCATCTATATTTAATAAAAGTACTATGTTACCGTATTTTTCGGAGTATAAAATGCTCTGGAGTATAAGACACACCTTAGCTTTTGGGGCGGAAAATAAGAAGAAGAAAAATTCTGCCTGTGCCTACCAGTATCCATGGTATTCAGCTGACACATGGTAACAAGGTCAGCCAATGAATAGGCATAGCAAGTAAGTCAGCCAATGAGGGCTATTTGGACTCTGAAATTTGTTGTGTGAGCAAGGAGGAGACAGGAAGAAGCCTGCCTTAGCAAAGAACTGAAAGTGAACTACTTGTGTTTTGCTTGTATTTACTGCTACCTTGGAAAACCTGGCTTTGGTAATGTATTGTATAGTATTATTATTTTGAATCCTGCTAAATCAGGAATCATACTGCACTTTCTGAATGTGATTGATGCTGCAAACTCTGACCAGCCAAGTCAGTTTTAGCACTTATTGCAGCCTGATTCAGCACAGCTGATTGGCAGGTGGATTGGACTGCTGGAATACCCCCAATCAGCATGTGCAGGGGGCACAGCGTGAGGGGTATTAAATTATGGGGGTTGGCATGCGAGTGCGCGCAATAGCGCGCACGTGTTTTTGACATTTGAGACGAAAAAGGTTCGCCATCACTGCATGATATAAAAACAACAGCATATTTAACATAACAAAGATACCAACTGAATCACACTGCCTAAAGTTTGGCAACAAAACCATTTTTTAAACCAATACAGAAAGCTACTAGGATCAGGGCAGGTCTAATTTCGGTCATAACAGAAACGGTTCCCCTCCAGACATCTATTAGATTATAGTCCCTAATGGACAGGACCTGGAGAATGCCTCTTCTGCTGGACCTTACAGAATGGGTAGATATCACTGAAGGGAGACAGTCCTATAAGTTATATCTGGTCTCATGTCATGAACTGGAATTCTTCTCCTTCCTCCTTTTTGGGGAGGAGGGGGGTATGTTTTCTCTTTTTTGTTATGTTTTATTTGTTATTGAACAATGACTTGTGTTTTGACACATGCACTTCTGAAATTTTTATCGAATAAATTAATTCTAGGTACAAAAGTTATACAAATATAAAATAAAGAAAAATATGGTAAATAATTACTGGATGTCAACTATATTAAATTACATACAATAATCACAACTGTTAGTAAATAGGTTTATCAAACTCAAGATTAATTGTAAGCTAAAGCAGTTAATGTTGCCTCTTTCAGGCCAAAAAACATTCATGTTCAGTTTAACAACAGTAGAGGGCAACATTGGAAAATCTAAAAAATGGCAAGAACATTAATGGGGAAATTCATCATCTTTTCTGGTATGCATTTAAACAGATTTATTATATTGAATGCTTATTCTTCAACTATACTGGGGAAAACAATATCCTGTCTTCCTTTCCCTCCAAACCTCCACAGCAAATTTTGCTTACAAATCAGCATGGAAGTTAATGAGCAATTTTTTATAATGAGTTGTCTAAATTGAGTAAGAATCATATTTTACTTGGCTAAAAAACAAGAAATGGACAGATCAATAAAGGGAAGTTAAACAAAGCTACTCAGGGAACTTTTATTTATTATTTCTTCAAAAGGTAAAAGGATCCCAAATCCATGTTTACTATTACAGAAGGGGAGAAAGTGGTGCTACTTCTTTTTTAAAGCAAAGATAGATGTTAAAAGCAAAACCTGCTTCTCCTCCAATAGCAAAGAAGTTAAGTAAAAACATTGGATCAGAAAAAAGAATGTACACTTCACGCTCTATCTCAGCGATGTAGTGAAGGTAAGAATTTCTCTCTTCCTTCCTAAACTGCAATAGAAATATTACAAGTAATAACAAGATTAGGTTTCTGCTTTGACATCCTGAACAGAGGAGAAAGTAAAAGATGGAAGTCAAATAAGCATGTACCTCCAAGAATCAATTTATAGATGATGAGAAAGAAATAACACCCAGCAACAGATTTATATCTGTATCTTCTCTTCTCTCTGCAGTTGTTTCTAAATTCTTAGTTCAATCAAGCAATCTTTGCAGGATGGTTCTAAGACTCAAGTGACATATCCTCTCCCTGCTTGTATACCATTGCAATTGCCCTGTGCATATTACACCTGGGTGGATACAGATCAAGGGGCTACAGCACTATGAATCAAAAGATAGCTTGCAGCTATGCTATCTTCCTAT